ACCCAAGCAAGAATAGAAACTTACAATGAGATCCATAAGCGCCTAGGATAACAGCTGCTGCCCCGCTGACCCCAGCCAAGCGAAGTATCGGCCCGGTCATCGTGACGACTTGTGGCGCTGCTCCTGATGGTGGAGGAACCGGCGTGACGAATTCAGTGATCGGCCAAAATTGCAGCGAGTTCGGGATCAGCTCCAGAAAGTTCATCCGCCTGTAATGAAATGGATAAATTGGGAAAGAAAAATTCTATGTCAGAAAAGGAAAGCATGTCAACGCTATATGAAACTTATGTATAGGGCTCCCGAAAACTTCTTCAATACCTAACTAGACCGATATAGACCTGTTTTCGCAGTAATTTATCGCTTAGTAAGCCCCGTATAACCAATTTCCATCTAAAAATTACGATTACTATTAAAATTGGAACTGTTCTGTTAACGTTTTGGGCCGCAAGGGTCGTGCAACAATCCGTAAAAGCTAAAATCTAAAATCTACCAGATGGTTACAGTCGCTTCGCGACTGCAACCATCTGGCCTTCGGGCTACCCTACATATCTTACCCCACCACATCCGTCCCTACCTCCAACAATACCCACGCTAACGGCTTTAGATACCTACCCTAGCCGAAATCGCTTAAAAAACTACCTAAATACCTTCCTGATGGCTTCAGATACCCCCCATGGCTGAAATCCCTTAAAAAAAAAAATGCCTAAATACCTTCCTGATGGCTTCAGATACCCCCCATGGCTGAAATCCCTTTAAAAAACTACCTAAATACCTTCCTGATGGCTTCTACCCCCCATAGCTGAAATCCCCGTAAAAAACTACCTAACGATGGCTTTAGATACTTTAAATAATTTAAATAATTAATTAACATAATTAAAAAGTAATTAAAAGTATTAAAGTAACATAAGAAAGCTATCTGGGCGCGCGAAGGGGCCTGGGGAAGAGAGGCGAAGGGAAAGGGGGCGGGCCTCCCGGGAGAGGGCCCCACTCGTTTATTAAGACGCCACTTTCAAAGTTAATTTTAATAATTTAACTAAAACTTTCATAATTTTTTTATCAGTTTGGGGGTTTCTGACCACGCTCTACCCGAATCCGAAGAGAGCTAAGCTCTAGCTCCTTTCCCCTTCGAGTTGAATTCGGCTCAACGGCGGACGCGGGCGTCAAGAAAATTATTATAGTTGATTGCAGAAAATATGACCCTCGTGGGCCCCAACTTGTTTTCCACGTTTTTTCGGGAGGGGGAGGGGATGTTTACGCCAGTCGCTCCATGGAGAAGCCCGGTGAAGAGAGACGCAGAGAGATCGATGCAAAGCCGCCGGCTTCGGAGAAAGTTTTGGAAATTCAAATATCAACGAGAAGTCGTTTCGTCACCTACTAATCTTTAAACCTGGTGGTCAAAAAAATCGTCTTCAAAACCCATTTTTTATTGTCAACTCCAAATTCTTCCCACTCTCTCATACAAATTTAGATACGCGAAGTCTCAAGGCTTCTCCTTTCTAAATTTCTTCAAAGGTCCCTCACTTTCATAACCATCCACGCAACGAAATCTTGCACAATGCAACGAAACGTACGCGGTAGGTATCTTACTGTAGGATTTGAACGAAACCACGCAGCCTGCGTGGCGAGTCCCTGTGCGAAGGGCTGCCACGCAGGGTCGATACTCAGGGGGCGGAGGGTCCCCACATTTTGTCCCACAATCATTTCACTGCTTTACTCATTTTTCATTCCAGTTCGGACTTGTCGTGCTTTTTCTAGTTTTCGGTTTCGCTTCGATTGTTTTGCGCCTTTTTTGTCCTCGCCATTCGCCAAAAACTTCTACCCCTAATCATTCCTTTTTTGCAGAAGCAACTTCAAACAATGGGCAAGGAGAAGATCCATATCAACATCGTCGTCATCGGACATGTCGACTCCGGAAAGTCCACCACCACCGGACACTTGATCTACAAGTGCGGAGGAATCGACAAGCGTACCATCGAGAAGTTCGAGAAGGAAGCCCAGGAGATGGGCAAGGGATCCTTCAAGTACGCCTGGGTTTTGGACAAGCTGAAGGCCGAGCGTGAGCGTGGTATCACCATCGATATCGCCCTCTGGAAGTTCGAGACTGCCAAGTACTACGTCACCATCATCGATGCCCCTGGCCATCGTGATTTCATCAAGAACATGATCACTGGTAAATATTTTTCGCTTTGCCTAAATTACCTTTTTTTTCAGGTACTTCCCAGGCCGATTGTGCTGTCCTCGTCGTCGCTTGCGGCACTGGAGAGTTCGAGGCCGGAATTTCCAAGAACGGACAAACCCGCGAGCACGCTCTGCTCGCCCAGACCCTTGGTGTCAAGCAGCTCATCGTTGCCTGCAACAAGATGGACTCGACCGAGCCTCCCTTCTCCGAGTCTCGTTTCACCGAGATCAAGACTGAGGTAAATTCAATTTATCTTCGCTTTATTGTTTTTTAGGTGTGCAACTTCATCAAGAAGATCGGTTACAACCCCGACACCGTTCCCTTCGTCCCAATCTCTGGATTCAACGGCGACAACATGCTCGAGGCCTCCGCCAACATGCCCTGGTTCAAGGGATGGGAAGTCACCCGCAAGGAGGGCAACGCCAGCGGCAAGACCCTGCTCGATGCCCTGGACTCCATCATCCCCCCGGCCCGCCCTACCGACAAGGCTCTCCGCCTTCCCCTCCAGGACGTGTACAAGATCGGAGGTATCGGAACTGTCCCCGTCGGCCGTGTCGAGACTGGTATCATCAAGCCCGGCATGGTTGTCACCTTCGCTCCCCAGAACGTCACCACTGAGGTATACCAGCTTTCTTTTATTCCAATACACTTATTTAGGTGAAATCCGTCGAAATGCACCACGAGTCTCTCCCAGAGGCCGTACCCGGTGACAACGTCGGATTCAACGTCAAGAACGTTTCCGTCAAGGACATCCGTCGTGGATCTGTCTGCTCCGACTCCAAGAACGACCCCGCCAAGGAGGCCCGCACCTTCAACGCTCAGGTGAATATTCTTTATAGTGTTTCACGAATATTCATTGTTTCACGGATTGTCTAAATATATTTTTTAGGTCATCATCATGAACCACCCTGGACAGATCTCCGCCGGGTATTGCCCCGTGCTGGATTGCCACACCGCCCACATCGCCTGCAAGTTCGCCGAGCTGAAGGAGAAGGTCGATCGACGTACCGGAAAGAAGGTTGAGGACAACCCGAAGGCCCTCAAGAACGGAGACGCCGGAATTGTCGAGCTCCACCCCACCAAGCCTCTTTGCGTGGAGGCTTTCACCGACTACCCTCCCCTTGGCCGTTTCGCCGTCCGTGACATGAGGCAAACGGTCGCTGTCGGAGTTATCAAGAGCGTCGACAAGTCTGATGGAGCGGGAGGCAAGGTCACCAAGGCTGCGCAGAAGGCTGGTGGCGCCGCTGGCAAGAAGAAATAAAAATATTTTCGGCTTTGTTTTTGTTTCTCATTGTTCTCCCACCTATAAGGGTAAAATTGTTGATATTTTATTTTTTTTAAATAAACACCTTCCTCTTTGAAATTCTGCGCACATGCTATCGAGAAATGCACACGATGGAGGGGTAACATTAGGATTGGCTTTGGCAAGAAGGGGAATGGCGCTCAACTTGTATTGCGCCGTAAAGTCGGAACCGATCAGTCGCAATGTTTTTGACTGCAAATAGCGAGGTCTAGCCAATTGCAACAAGGAATCAAATAGCCTTTTTATAAAACTGAAGGGGCGCTGCGTTCGCAGCCAACTGGCGGAAACTTGGATCTACTACGGGCTCTCACCAATCTGTAACAATTTTGCGGTGCTAATGCAGTTAGGGGGGGGGGTCCAAGAATGGTGGTAAGGGGTGACGAGGCGCTCGGCTTAAGCTACTTGGTTTTCAGCGTACGCCTAGGCTTAAGTTAGCTTTCACTAACAAGGGAACCACCTAAGGTCGGGGTGGCGTTTCGCTATGGGACCCAGCCCATTTTGTGCAGAATTTTTTGCTGATTCCGGACCTGCTTTCAATTTTTGCCAAATAGCCCGATTTAAAAAGTTACGGCGATTTTAAGATCATATTTGAGCCCGCGGGGGGTCATCTGTCACGATGCCCAACTTTTTTGTTTTAATATGCCAATTCATTTTAAATAGCTTATCTTGTAGAGAATTTTTTTCTGATTCGAATGGTATATTTCATTGCTGCGCTACTGCCTATAAATGATTACTTATGGGAGTGTGAAATAGCCTGTTTTTCACCATTTCCCATACAAAAAACGAAGTCCATGCCAAGTATCGTCGATTTTTTCGATTTCCAACAATTTTCAGTTAAATAGCTCATTCGATAGAGAAAAATTTTCTGAATATGATGGCGATATTCGTTTTTGGGGAATCATCCGGGAAGTGCAAAATAAATGGCTTTGAAGTTGACAAATTTGGGAAAAAATGGAACTTCGAAGCGCTATAACTTTTTAAAACGAGCTATTTGGCAAAATGCGCGGATTCGGAATCAGCGAAAATTTGAAAAATGGGCCGGGTCCCATAACGAAACGCCACCTCGACCTCGGGTGGTTCCCTTGTAAGCCTAGCTTAGGCAAGCTTGATCCTAAGCCAAACTAAGCTTAACTTGAGCTTCAAATTGACTTACGAGGTCAAAATGGGCTTCTTTATGGGTTAGCTTACAACTAAGCTTAGCTTGCCTCTTAGCTTTTCCAGAGGCTTCGAGTTTAAAAAACGGCATTTGGAGCGTCTCGTAGTCAAACCCCCCAAGTGCATTAGCACCTATTTTGCTTTTGACCAAAGCGAAACCCATGCGTCGATATTGCTTGGAAAATCCTGTAGCAGAAGGTAGCAGGGCCCCCTGGTGTGCAACTCTTTTTGTCCGACCAGGTATTTCCTTGATGGTACAAGTGAAGGTTTATGCATGCAAAGGAAATACACAGTAGAGATATCACAGTTTTGTCGAGCTCCTATTTTTTCAGCATTTCTCGCAGTTGAGATTGTTTTTCTTCAAGAGCGCCGCGTTGACAGGAAAGAGTAGGATGGGATCTTAAGAAAATTGTTGGATTCGTCGTGCTTATACCTGACAGATAATGCCACCAAGTGATTAAGTTCCATATGTGAGAAATGGGACCTTCTATCGGCAAGCACGCAAAGAAGTTCGTCCGGTTCATGGGAGAGCAACTAAATGCATGATCCGTAATCATTGCAAGCCAAAAATCACCTCGAAGAAAGTTCGTGCACGATCGAGTTCAGCTTCGCGACGGGCTGTCAGCTGGGCAAGCCGTTGCTGAACCCCCCAAATATTACGCGTCACACGTTTTCTTCCAATTTCCGTCAGGCGTTGCATGTGCTGACTGAAAAATACATAATCGCTGACTAAAAGTGTGTGGTGCTGACCTCGAGTGGATAAAGATGGCGGCACACAGATGCCCAAGACCGTCAAAGATATATCTGGAAAGGACTAATGTTAGCATAGTAGATCATACCTCATTTTTTGCGGGCTCAAGTACGTGGCCAGAAGCGAGTGGAAAGCCTGGAGATCTTTTCCGAGCTCAACGACTTCCGGGTCGGTGTCCTCATGGGATGTGGCTTGTCGAAGGCGAGCCAGAGGCAACAGGTGAAAGAAGCAGTGCACACGGAGCTCCAGATGAAGCATGAGAAGGCAGGTGGCGGAGACGGATTGCAACTGGCTAATGCTCGCATCAAGGCCCTTCAACACGGGCTCCTAAAAGTAAAATTATCAAAACCAATATTTTAAAAAACCCACATCTTGCGACACTTTTCCGTCTCGATAGGTGACATGAACAGGATGCTCGCGTATAGCTTTGCGGACGTTCGAAGGAAGGGAGTCTATCAATTTGCGCGCCTCTGCAGACAACCACCTATCAAAAACAAAGTCAGAGAAAAAGCGTTGGGCTACCGGAGGGATTCGTGTAAAGCGGCAAGGGCCCGGATGTCTGACCAATCGGAAAGCAGTTCTCCTTTCGCGATCTAGACAGAGCGTTATTACAAGCTCTTTTTGATTCACCTGTTTTTGAGTGCCAAGGTTGCTGATCAGAATATCGGATTCCCGCATGTTGAGTGCACGAATGTCCTGAATACAATGTTAACCAGGGCGCCATTGAAATACCCGTTCGCTCTCCAAATTGGCCGGCGTCTGCACAGAGGCCGGAGAGTTTACCTAGAGCCGGTAATAGGGAAATGGACAAGGACCAACTGGCAACACTTGATTCGCCAGCTCCCAATTTGGCAACGACATCAGAAGGCGTGAAATGTCTTCATCGGCAGCCCATGCTGCTGAAATCTTTCGCCGCGCCGTCCCATCGCCATCCAACACCGGAGCTGTTGTCTATAACAAAAAAATGTATACGTCATCTCTTGTTAAAGTCAATCATTAACGAGGATCACGCGAACTCTATCAAAATCAACATATGATGAGCGAGAGAACCAGAAATATGATTAGAGGGTAAGCATGCGCAACGCTTCATGACAGACATTTACGAGCGTTTTTACCTGCAAAAATAAGGCTACCCTCTAAAAGCGTTTCGCTTGAGCCGAACGAAAGCGACGCATACCTTTTCGTACAGCTCGTTGATGTGGCGGGTGTATTCGGAGAGGACCAGAAGCCAAACGGCCGCAAATCTAAAAGGTTGATAAATTAGAGCTATGACGCTTTAGGCGAACCTTGGGGCATAATTATCCATTTGCATGATGAACTCGTGAATTTCATTGCACATATCTCGGACTTGTTCGGCAGATGGCAGGATTGGCTGGAATGAAAATTACATTAAAAAGCTGGAATAAATTACCGATTCGCTGCTAGCCACAGTTCGCGCATCGTCCAGCTTCAGCGCCTCGGCCAATCGCCCTTCTAACGTTCTCTGGAAAGAATTTTATGTAAAACAAAAACATTAAAGAGTGCGATTTTTCGTAGGTTCAAACCCCTAGAAACCACAAACAATAAGGCCCACCGTCACTCGCTCCACAAATTCTTCAATGACGAAGCTGTGGATGAATCGCCGGAGTTGGCATAACTGAGTGCCAGTCGCAGATTCAACCTGGAAAAGACGTATCAAAGCAATATAATAATTATACCGCTTCCATCAACCGGCGCAACCAGGGATACATCGGAACTATGTTGAAGAAGGAAGGCGGGCACACCGTCAGAGACGCCTGAAATTAAATTGACCATAAGTCATAACTGCAATACCTGTGAAGAGGGAGCGGCAAACGAAGACCCAGAAGAGCAAGCCGTTGCGTCGAAGCGGAAGAGCTGGACGATGGTCGTGCGGAGATTCGGGTTGGCCGCTTCGGTATTCGCTTGTCTCGTGCCACCAGCCGGCATATCCAAGTGGTCAGACACCATTGATTCCACCTAGGAGAGGCTTAGGAAAACGGAAAAGCACCCACGGCGCTTTGGACAGCATACCAGAAGGCGGGCATCACCTTTGCAGCTGCCTCCGTGCCGATTTGAGGGATCTGAAATGAAATGAAAAACGAGAAACTACAAAAAACCTTTGCGGCGCATTCGGCGAGGGTTGTATGAGCCGCGCGGGAGTGTTCAAGCTGGCGAACGACCTGAAGGAGAAGCGTAGGCATGGTAAGAACGGAGTTACCATCTGGATTAGCTGGGAAAGGTGGGTTTTGTCGGCTCCGCTGAGATTGTCGTCGTGAGCAGCTTTCTGGCGCATCAAACGCACCGATTCGGCAACCTATCGACGGGCTGAATAAGAGCATAACTCTTACCTGCTTCGAAATCTGCGTGGCTGATAGGGCTAAAAGACGATCGACGACAAGCTGCGCCCCATCAAGCACAGAAAGAGCGGCCAGGTGCTCCTAAAGGGGCTTTTTGTACAGATTTCCTGATTTAGACACCTGAATCCGGTTCTGCAGAGCCGTATTGTTCGTATGACGTTGCTGATTGAGTTTGCGGTAGAGGCGCAGCGTTAGCTCGCTTTCTCCAATCCAACCTTCCGGCATCCCGCGCACCACGTCAACCATCTGAATCGTAGATTAAAGGGATGCCGACGGCATAGTCAAACGGTTTCGCGGGGGGAAGGAGGGGTTCCGCCCCCCCCCCCCCGGGCGCCCCCTCCCCCCCCCCCCCCGTTTTTTTGGGGGGGGGGGGGGGGGGGGGGGGGGGGGGGGCGGTTTAACGATGGAAATTAAATATACGAAAAAGAATAGAAAAAGTTCACCTGTTGCTCAAACGGCTCTTGCACCACCATCTCGGCCAGCTGAACCTCGATCTTTTTCGCCAGCGCTTCGGAAGAATCGGCCAGCTGGGCGCGTAGCTGCGAGAGACCGGAGACCGACGCGAATTTCGTCTCTATCAAATCCCCTGCAAAAACATAAACTCAAACTGAATTGCTCACTCGAATTCGCAATCGTTCGAGCCGTATCAAAATACTGATTCTGCTCAATCATCACGTCCATTCGGTGCTTCACCTCCCGGAGCTCTTCGCTAAAATAACGAGTCTAACCGATAAAGAACGATCCTCACAGCTTTTGCAGAATGTCGTTGATATGGCGCTGCTGCTTGTCCTCTTCCCACAAACGTTTCAGGTCATCGCGACGCGATTGGAACAGATTCCGGCAATTTGACAACGCATTACGGACGTTGTAAATTCGTTCCCGACAAGCTGAATAGACGAAATGGGTTGAAAACGGGATTTTTGCCTACAGGAAATCTTTGTTGAAACATCTCGAAACGCCACTAGGCTTTCTTCAACGTCGTGGTGGTGATCTAAAAAAAGATTTTGTACAGGTCTCCAAATTCCCGAGTAGCCCACTATACATTGTAGCCAGTGAAAGCCCAAATACCGCTTACTTTCTACGAGGAGTTCGATTCGGTCTTGGACCTCCTTGCAATCCCTTGCCAATACATTTGTTTGGACCTCGCGCTGTTCGGGAGATTGGCTAGTGGTGAGGGCACGGAAGACGGTGATTAACGCCGACTAAACCAAAAAATATAATTTGGTACTATTCAAGTTGAGGAGAGGGCAAAATTTTTTAAGGTCATTTTTGGGCTATTTGATCAGTTTTTCGCGGCTAGTCCAGCGCAATACTGAACTCTCAAGGCAAGCTAAGCCGAAGCACAGTTAAATTAAGCTTGAACAAAGCGACGTCGAAGCCAAAACCAGTGAAGTGACGAGGTACTAAGGCTTAGGCTAAGCCTAAGCCTAAACCTAGGCTAAGGTAAGCCTAAGCCTAAGCCAAGCCAATACTAAGCTAGGCTAAGGCTCAGCCAGAGAAAACTGACCAAGTAGCCCAAAAATGACCCAAAAAATTTTCGCCCCCCCCAACTTTTGACCAAATTTACCCCAATTACAATAACAATTAAACCCAGAAACTTACTGGATTATTGCCTTGTGGCTTTCGACGAGGCGCTGCGACGGGCCGCTCGACCATCCGCCGACCTGAAAAATGCAGTAAAGAAAAGCTATTAATATGGAGCTTTGCGAACCTAAGAAAGCAGTTTTAGAGATTGAAAATTGGGAGAACACCGGTAATTAGTCAAGTACAGCCGGTACAGCCGTCTCGAAAGAGTGGGCAGAGGGAGAGCGCAGACATTTTTCTCTGCGTCTCTCTCTCTCTCTCCCCTTTCCATACTATCTCGAAACGGCTGTACCGGCTGTACTTTACAAGCAGCCAGAACACCGGGAATCCAGGTTATTGTCGACCACGGCTGGTCAGTGACCGGGCTTTCCATTTAGCCATGGAAAACGCGTGCTCCTTTCGACACCGGTCTCACGCACCGCTCCGTCGGTTAATAAGCCCAAGCCGACCTTCTCAGGGCTCGATTTCACGATGTTGTTATCGTAGCGCGTCTATGTTCAGATGTACATATTTAGGATGGCTTTACTGCGTATAAAGATGAAACAAGTCAACGACAAACTCAACAAGAAAGTCAACAATACGAATTGGGGAGCAACGACAGCTGTAAAATGGGGGCGGTCAGGAATATTCAATGTCCTTGTTCTTGCAGTCGAGGCACGTGTAGAATACAGTTTGCCCTTCATCAGCCGATCGGGTTTGCATCGTGGAAAACGTTGCTCGATCGTGTCCGCATCTGAGAAAGTACTGTATAATGAAGTGGCGCCTTACTTTGTGCAAACATGATCCACTTCCGCATCGCCGCCGGACAGCTTGGCGTTCTCCGAGTCGGCCACCGACCGTTCGTAGTTCTAAAAAAATCAAATGAAAAATAAAGATGTTTTATACCTTGAAGCTGGTGCACACCAGTTGATCAACCTTCGGCTTGATGGTTAGAACGGTGCCGCATAGCCGACATTCCACTTCTCCGGGTTCTAAATGTAAATTTAGGCTCTGTCACTGGATATAATCTAATTTTAATGAATCCGGATGGATTGTAGCGCTACAAACATTCTACAAGCTATTTGAAGCCCGGGTATTTTGCCTTTGCTACCAAAATGAAGACCAATAATCGGCTGCCCTCTTGCCCCCGACATTTCCGGACCTTTCAACTGACCCGCCCGTTCTCAGGCAGAGAAAAAAGAGCAACTAATGGTGAGCCGGCGCCTAAGTCTCAGTCTTTTCTCATTCTTTTCCCTTGACCGACGCCCCGTGCAGCAACTCCCCCCCTGGGCCCCTCTCGCTCCCGTACCCACACCCCGAAACGCATTGTTTGTCAAGCATTTAGCGCCAGACGGTTCTCGACTTTGATTGATGAATTTTTCTTGATGGGCTTCACCTCCATCACTAAACAGATTTTTAGCCCCAGGACCATCGTATATCCATGTATATTTGCTTGTTAAAACATTTGAAACCTCAAAAGAGCTCGTGAATTAAAACGTTTATAAACCGATTGTGCCATTGACGAGAGAACAATTTGATCACATAGCTTAGAAACGGTAAGGAATCAGTGCGGGCCGGATCACAGGTTTCGGCCAAACAGCACAAATCTCTTGGGCTTTTTTGGGCATTCGGGGTGGATACAGTGCGCGGACGCATCGATGTCAGCCTGAAAAAAAGGAGATTATGCAAGGTAAATGACTAACGCACCAGCTCATCCGTCGTGCACAAGGGCGCCGCTCCCATAACTACCCGGACGGTGGGACTTTTGCTAAAGCAAAAAAAAAATATGTAGCTCGGAATCCCCACGATACCTAAGAGAGTGCAGCTTGATGGCTTCTTCGCATTTGGGCTCCCCGCAGAAGGGCGAAAGCAGCACGAACTTCTCGTCGAGGAGGTTCTTGAACTCTTCGAAGTCGGTGGTCACCTTCATATGGGCATTGCGCACGGCGAGAGCCCTATACAAAAATGTCTGAAAGGGAAGAAGAACTTACTTTTCGTACATCGCCGTGTGAATCTCCTCAAGGAGGTTCTTCAACGACTCGACAATGTTATCGCGCTTGATGGCCTTCTTTTCGCCGTTGAATCGGATGACGGCCGTCACCTTGTTGGCTGCCAAATCCTTGGGGCCAATCTGAACGAAAACATTGCAAAAAAACAATTAAAAGTAAATACCTCGACGCGGATCGGGACACCCTTCAGCTCCCAGTGGTTGAACTTCCAGCCGGGCGAGTAGTTGTCCCTGAAAAGAAACAATAATATTTCAAATGAATGAAATACCTGAGATCGGCTTCGGCGCGAACGCCACCTTCGACCAATTGAGCGACGATGCTCTCAGTGGCCCGGGTAATCTTGTTTCGCTGCTCCTCGCTGGTTTGGGCAGTAATTCCGACAGGGAGAGCAATAGCCTAAAAAATGTTATCAACAGCCGGGGGTTCTGTTGTGGGCGCTGCGCTTTTGCCGTCGTAATGTGATTTTTCGTGGGACTACTATGGACGCTTACACCCTGTAGCCTCGCGTAAAAATCCAATACGACGCTAAAAGGTCCGCGGCCCACAACAGAAGTCCTGTTGAAAGCTGGGAAAACAACGGGTTTCACACCTGAATACAGGCCACGCGTGGAGGCAGCACGAGTCCATTGTCATCGGCGTGGATCAGTACCATTAAACCCAACGCTTCGCTGTTAATTCTCCACGAATTTTGGTAGGCAAACATCTAGAATATCTATTACTAAATAGTTTCCATAAAAAATACCTTTTCGCCATTCCCAGTGGGGTCTTCGAACGAAATGTCGAACATTTTGGAGAAGTTCTGGCCAAGATGGTTAGATGTGGCTCCCTAAAGAGAAAGATAGACACGAAAGCTTTTACCCACCACCATCAGCGTGCCTAGAATAGGCACATACGCTTGAACGGCAAGGGTGAACTCTCCGTTGGCCGGCTTCTTCGATTTGAGTCCTTTGAATAAGGGAATGGCCAGTAGATCCGTGTAAACGCTAGCGTAGAGATCGAGGATCTTGAAAACGTCCGCTTCCGCGTCCTTGGCATTGGCGTAGGCGGCGTGCCCTAAATTTGGTTTTGTGAAATAAATATTTCACTCACCCTCCTGCGAAAAGCAAGCACCCGTGCCCAAGAACGGAGTGCGGGGCTCTTGCTCCCAGCGCTGAAAATGCGAACATAAGATTCAAAATTGGAAACGCAGATAAGAGACTTCTAAACTGACCACAACGTTGCACCACTGGTTGAGCTTGATCGGCAAGTCACGATGGGATTGGACCCATTTCTTGTACGAGGGGTACATCACAGTCTCGGATGTGGGGCGGATGGCGATTGGCTCGGCCATTTCCGAGTTTCCGGCCCTCGTGACGCAGGCGACCTAAAAAATTGCATATTTTTCGAAAATCTGCCGTGGTACCTCCGGGGCGAGATCGGCAATGTGGGTCTTCTCGCGTTCCAGAGCAGAGTTTGAAACGAACATCGGGAAGTAGCAATTCTTCACTCCGAGCTTCTTGATTCCGGCATCAAACCTAAAGAACAAAATAAATTTTATCCATAGCTGCTCCTCACCACTGCTGAATTCCTTCCCAAATGGCGTATGACCAAGGGCGTACTACATAACCGCCAAGGCTTGCATCCCATTCGATCATTTCGGACTTTTCGATCACCTAAACACCGGATACATGAATAAATAATTATCATGCGCACCTGAGAATACCACTTGGAGTAATCGACGTCCTTCTTTGCCTCGATGCCCAGCTTGCTCTTCTTTCCATCTCCCTTGGCCTCGTCAAGTTTGGGTTGCTTCGGCTTTTCTTCCTAAAACCTATGTAAAAGCAGCGTAATCAAGCAATACCTTTTTCTTGTTCTCTCCACCCTTCTTGTTATCGCGTCGCCCGCCTCCGGGAGCCTGGTACTCCTGTCCAGTTTTTTCCTAAACATTAATAGTCATGTTACACAAAGTGCAATAAACCTTGAACGAAAGTTTCAGGGCTAGCAGCTTCTCGATGGCCTCTTTCTTGTCGGCTTCACTGCTCTTGGGGTCGCCCTTCACCTTGCGCACCAATTCAACCTGGGCGACGATCTCAGCCTCCAGTTCAGCCTTCTGATTCCATAGCACCTCTTCGTCTGCCGGGGGCTGAAACATATTTATAAGCCCGAAACATAGCAAAAAAATTTCGACTCTTTACTATTAGTGGGATGGGGTTTTTTAGCGGGGGAACCAAACTCCAGTTTTTCTCTATGGCCCTATAACGAAATACAAACCATTTTTACAACATTTTACATAGTTACTACATATCACCAATATAAAACAAAATCATAAAACTGCTCGAAAAATTCTCGACTGTTTGGTCAAAAATATATGAAAAATGGCCAAAAAATCAAAACTTTCGCATTTTCAAATCTTTATAACGTTCTTGCATTCTAAATTACTAAAAACACCATAAAAATACATTATATTAAATAGGTGGTTGTAAAACAAAAAAGTAGTTCCTCTCCCCCTCCCCCCGCTAACAGTCCAGAACCAAAATTTCAAAAACTATCGACAATTACACTGCTACAAGCTCAAAAAATCAAGAAGCTCACCAAACAGATGGTGACCGGAATCGGGGCACTTTCGTTGTCCATCTGAAATGCGTCATGTGATTACAATCAGAGATCGAAGCGGGTAGAATTCGTAGAGAAAATAAGAAGGTTACCGGGGAAAAAGCTTCTTAGGATCAAGGGTCGAAACAGGCATATCTTTTCTTTCTTTAGCCTCTCAAATACTCGTTTACGAGTACAGCCTCACCTTCATGGTGAGGTATGTGTCCTTCTGGATAACCCGCTTGCTCTCGTAGCAAGTTTGTTCCTTCGGAAAACCGTTCGCTTCGGCGAATTTGGCCTCTTCGGAGGCATTCGCTCGCTTCGGCGAGTTTTTTCCCCTTCGGGGATTTCTTTTACTATTTATACTTATTATAAATACATTAGTTTATTAGAGGCTGCGCGTTCCAGGCTGCCACAGGACGATTCGAGATCTTCTTCTTTTCTTTTTTCGTTTTTCGTGATTTTCGTAATTAGCTCAAAAACTGGCCTGGAAACATGAGGTTTTGGCCAGATCCAAGAGGGGCCAGCAAACCGCAGTAGCGCATTTTAAACATGAGCTCTAAAAAAGTCCCAAGTTTGCGCGAGGTCTCAACTAGGTGAGTGAAAGCGGAAATCTTTGAGCGGAGTTTCTACGTAAGTCGGCAAGAAGGAAGTTAAAGTAAGTTTTCAGGAAGCGGAAACAAAGTAAGTGCAGCCTACGAAGTTTATAAAGGAAATTAGTTAATTAGCTAAACTTTTAGGAGCCGTCCGTCGCGCATTCGAACGTATATGTAAGTTCTAAATGAAGCTAAGGCCAAGAAAACAAAAAAAAAAAGCTATTTCAGGTGCGCCGTACGAACATGTTCTCAGGGAAGATGAAGATCTACATTAAGTATAGGGTACAGCATCGTCAAAAGCGATGCAGTGCCCTTTTTTTAAATAATAAAAGCATTAAAGAAACCGTTATACGCCGTTACAACGCGATTGGGGCGCGCCTGTGAGCGCAATTTGGGGCGCGCCCCCGGCCCCCGGGCGCTATACGAACCCAGAATAAAAAACAGCGACCAGTGCCGCTCCGCTATAAAACTAAGTACGAATAACCGTAACGATTTTACGGTAGTTAGGTCGCCCGATAGGCGCCGACAGCTACTGGCATCAGCAGCGTTATTGCATATTGTGAAGTTCTGTTTTACAAGAAATCGAAGCAGATGGAAGGAATAACATGCAGGAAAATATCTGATTAAGCGAGTTAGATTTATGGTCAGACCCTCAGGAAGTACAGGATGACCCAAAAGAGTTTATGCAAAACTTTTTCTTATGAAATTTTTTTGATTCATCCGGCAGTGTTTTCCCATGCGGAAAACCAAAGAGAAAAGATCATGTGTTGGCAAATTCATAAAGCTTTTGACCTTCAAGCTTTAAAATAAAGCATCGAAAGAATTGAGTTTTCGTCGATGCGCCGCTCCCGCGCCGATTCCCGTTATAAGCGTAGAATACATCAGGCGGTATTTGTCGAAACGAACAGTTTTAATTTTCGTGTTTAGGTGCAGTTCCACGTCGACCACGGCCCTCGGATTAACCCAGACGGCTGGCTCGCTGTACCTTCCATTTGCCCTCCAGCGCGCACTTGTTTCAAAGGTACACCTAAATTCTTAAATTATTTTCCACGAAGAAATGAAATTAAAGGTATAGAAAAGCACAGGTTTTATTAGTTACAGATTGCTTTTAGATAGATCGAACGCCACGCGTGTTCTATATGCTTCAAGTTTCTCAACTCTTTTTGGCCAAGCAAGTCGACCCGGATAATGTTGATCTTGTTAGGTAAATCATTGGGGGGAAGAACTACTCTAAAAGCGATTTCTAGAGAGAACTCGGTGCTGAGCTATTTCCTGACCGGCATCACACTATTGGCGCGGAAGCGAATGGAAGAAGTACGGGAATTGCTCGAATATCGCTCGTTGATACCAGAAGTGCTTGACATAGTTGCAAGAGTTTTGGCTGCTTTCACTGTACTAGGCTACATAAGAGCGGTGGGAGATTCTAGTGAGAGTGGATTTGGAAAGATTTTTTAGCATTTTCTAGTGTTTTAAGCAGTGTTTTTACTATTAAAGTGTTGAAAACTTGTGATTTTTGAGATGTTTGGCTCGTTTTACATACATTTCCTCCTAAACCGAAAAATTTCGATAATTTTTATGAAATTTAAGGCATAGAAACGGCTTAAAGGGCTAATGATGGATATTTTAAAAAAAGTTGCACTCAAACCCCTCCCCGCTAAGGTCTAAGGTCTACAACCAAAAACCACCATTTCGGATGCCATATACGTCAAGATCATCCTCATTCTCAACGCCAATCTATTGTATAGCCCTAGCCAGGGCCCGGAAAGGCCGAATTCCTGGTCGAACAACTTCCGGTTCGCTAATATACGCCAATATACCCCCCCCGAAATCAGACGTGGTCCGAAAAGTTCATACGGGGGACCCTCATGATTTTTTTGGATAAAAAAATTTCGGAGCTCTTAAGGTTCGGGGGGCCAGTTTCATAAAAGGGTCATACTGTCAAGACTGTCACTAGGCTTACTAGAGGGCTAGATATAAACCCCACAAATAGCCTAGCCATATGCCGAAGCTAAGCTAGCTTAATCTTTAGTTTAGCTTGTAAGCCTAGGCTACGTTAAAGCTCGCTACAAGCTTAGGCTCAAAAGACTGTTTTTCGAGCTTTGAGGGCAAATTAAAGCTAAGTTAAAGCTCGTGCTTAAGCCTATGTTTAGGGTTAGCCTCTGTTAGACTAACAAGGGAACCACCTAAGGTCGAGGTGGCGTTTCGTTATGGGACCCAGCCTATTTTGTGTAGAATTTTTCGCTGATTCCGAACCCGCTTTCAATTTTTCCTAAATAGCCCAATTTAAAAAGTTATAGCGATTTTAAGGTCATATCTGTGCCCGAGGGATTTAAGGGCATATCTGTCACGATGCCCAACTTTTTTATTTTAATAGGGCAGTCGATCTTTAATAGCCTATCTTGAAGAGAATTTTTTTCTTATTCGATTGGTATATTTCATTAGTGCGCTACGACCTATCGACGATCACTTACGGGGGTGTGAAATAGGCAATTTTTCACCATTTCCCATACAAAAAACGGAGTCCATACCATGTATCGTCGATTTTTTCAATTTTCAACAATTTTGTGTTAAATAGTTCATTCGATAGAGAAAATTTTTCTGAATACGATGGAGATATTCGTTTTTGAGGAATCAGACGGGAAAGGCAAGATAAATTACTTTGAAGTTCGAAAATTTGGGAAAAAATGGAACTTTGAAACGCTATAACTTTTTAAATTGGGCTATTTAGCAAAAAATAAAAGCGGATTCGAAATCAGCAAAAAATTCTGCACAAAATAAGCTGGGTCCCATAACGAAACGCCACCTTGACCTTAGGTGGTTCCCTTGTAAGCTACACAACAACACTATACTACTTGTACTAAACATACCTCAAACTAAGCCTCAAAATCGCCCTAACACAAGAGGCCCCCCAAACCTTAAGAGCTCCAAAATTTCTGCCTGCGGCGCTGGTTTATTACTGTTTTTCAAGCAGTTTTTACTTCTACGCTGGTTTTTTAAAAATTTTCGCCTGCGGCGCGCTTTATGCCGTGTTTGCACACGAAGAGTGTAGCAAGCGCTTTTTGCTAATTTTTTCCCTGCGGCGCTGTTATTGACGCGATTTTCGGATGTTTTAAAAGTGGCGACGGGAGGGGGGGAGGTCGCCAAAATTTTTGCCCCCCCTCCGCCCCCGAAATTTCGGCTCCGCCACGGGCCTGGATGTGTGTAATCCCCGTCAAAGATGGGGTCCGGTATCTAAGCGAATGTCTGGATTCGTGATTGGCCCAGCATTTCCCCGGTTGCTCGTATGAGGTAAGCGGATCTGATAATGGACTGTTAGAAGGGGAAAACTAATGTTTTTTTGTTTCGTCTGGACCTACCGGCCATAATAAATAGTGTAATATTTTTATAATATTTTTTCGCGATTTTGGCTTGCTAAAAAGTGGCAAAAACAATAATTGAAACATTTTTGAAAATTCGCAAATTTTTGTCTGTTGTTCATTTTTCATATATTTTTGACCGAAAACCAAAAATTTTCGAAAAGTTGTTTCCTGCTAACGGCCCAACACTCGTATCTTGTAGCCAACAAATCGCCCTTTTCCAGGTAAGCCTTTTCGACGACGGCAGCACCGACGCACTCGCGAATACATCAATCGCTACGAGAAGCTATTCACGCAAAAAGGGATCCGTTTTATTGCTGGAAGAGGTGCAACTTCTGGAGGTTTGTGCAAACCTAGCAACTGAATGCGTATTGCTTCCAGGTGTCGGATTTGCAAAGAACGCTGCGATTCGACAGGGTTCCGGTGTTTTTCGCTGTTTCTGCGATGCCGACGATATTTCGGATCCTAAGAGATTGCGGCGGTTGCAGGAATGTATCCTAAGTCAACTGGAAACGGTGTGTATTGAAGCGCTTTGAAAGATTATTGCGCAAAAAGCGTTGATCATACATGATTTTCATACTTTATTTCAGGAGAGACACCGACTCATCCTGGGGTCTCGATTCCGAAGTGATCCTCCCGACTCGACGACAAGATATACAAACTCAGCCAACGCATCTATATCATCAACTATAATAATTTTGCTGTGGTGTCCGTCCGTCTGTCATGTCCCGAATTCAACTCGAAGGGGAAATGAGCTAGAGCTTAGGTCTCTTCGGATTCGGATAGAGCGTGGTCAGAAACCCCCACACTGATAAAAAATTACAAAAAAGTTTTTGTTTAAATTATTAAAATTAACTTTGAAAGTTTTTTTCCTTACAGGGTGGGCAAAAAAAAAGCCCACAGTTTGGGTCGAAATAACTCGCGAACGGTAGAGAATCGAAGGTACGTTACCATGCCAGGATGCTTAAATATGCTGGGTATGAAGATTTAACACAACTTGATTTTTTTCGATTTTTGAGTACGAAACTGTACTATTGACGCTGGTTACGACCGAAAATTGTGCGTTCTTGATTCGGTGGTGGGAAAATTCTGATTTTTGGCCTAAAAATAGTATAAATTTGTAGAAATGTAATGGCAAAATCTTAGAATTTATCGAGGTCAATTTCATTTTTTAAAAGCAAAACAATTTTCGCGAGTTTTCGTTATTTTTGTTCTTTGAGTCATAACTCGCTTAAAACTCACTGCCTATGGCTGATATTTTGTCAATCTTGAAATCTTGGCTCCTTGAAAACTCATTTTCTGTTCGATGCTTCAATTTTACCTGTGCAGACTTTTACGCGCATCCACACCACGCGAGATGCCACTTCACAGAGATATTTAAAAAATGGCTTATTAGGTTCTTTGGCATTATCGGGGGGGGGGGGGGGGGGTATCAGGGGGTTATTGTTTTTTACTATTTTTGAACGCCTGATCCGCCCATTTTTGCAGGAATTCATCGAAAAGGTAGGTCTATATTAAAAACTGGCTACTAAAATCGAAACGATAGGTCCCCCGCTAATGCACAAGTTCCGGAAATTTCGGTATTTTTTGACTTTCTGATATTTCGCTTTTAAAAAAGGCATTTATTTCCATTGAGTCACCACAAACTAAAAAATCACCTGATCGGCCCATTTTTGCAGGAACTCGTCGAAAAGGTAGGTCTTTGAGCGGAACACGACCCAGAGTTCATCTCCAAGCTGTGTCATCTCATCGTGGAATTGCTGGATTGGCAGCCACTGTTCGGCAAAAGCACCCAATTCCTCCTCGAGTCTTCCGAGCCGAGCAAGCGAAGGCGCTGGCTCGCCGAATTGGGTGCACTCCGCGAGAAGCCTCTCCTTTCTGGCGCGTAGCTCGTCAAGTTCAGCCTTTTTCTCGGCTATTGTGGACATGGCTTGTTGAAGTCCGTCTCGTTCACCACCAGCGAGGGCATCGCTTTTCGGCTTCACTTGGTCCCATCTAAGAAATTGTTGTTTTTCTAATTAAATTCCAGTATCCTGCCTCGCGTGTAGTCGCTCAGCATCAGCTTCAAGTTCGTCGGCTTTTTTCTCGAGCCCAGTACGAAGTACATCCACCTGCTCCTTGATCATCAGCTGATGCGAGTCGAGCATCAGCTCAAAGCGTTCCCAATTTTGTTTTAGGGAGGCGGCCGCGTCTACCTAAAATGCAAAAACAGTTTTCAATTTTTTTTCTAACTATCCTACCCCACTTCCGGCCGTCGATCGTAACAACGAATGCTCTTCATCAAGGATAACCATATTTTCCTTCAGTTCCTTCTTTTTCTGTCCAAATTCGGCGTGTTTCGCATTGGCCTCGGCGATTTCATCGACAGTTTGTGGTCGAGTGGACAGCGTGCTGATCGCCTATGTTTTATGGTTCTTTACATACTTTCGGAATGGCGGCGGGACCAAAATTTCCAATTCATCTCGGTTATCGATTTCTTAACCCACATTTGACAGGAATTGAGCGATGGTATGTGTGTGGGTAGTTACAGCATGTCGTAGACTAGACACCAACGAATCGTATAATCTTTGTAGGGCCTCCTCGACGAATGTCAGCATCGGCCCGGCGCTGATCACCACGCATTCCACGCGCATTTCCCTAAAAGAAATTAGGTACTGGTCTGTTAGCGGGGGCTATCAAGAGATGACCAACACTTTTCGTTATGATCCGAATTTTCTATAAATAGGGTAGGCGTCCCTACATTTATTCCTACATATAAACTTAAAAAACTTTCTATTTAAAAATACGCAAAAAATGTCGATTTTTTTCTACCAAAAATCGCTCTTTTCGACCAAACTTCTACATATATTTTTTCAAATGCTATTATTATTTTAAATTTTATGTTTTATACAGAAAGAAGATGTTTATACTGTTTTTATGATTCCGCAAAAAAATGTAAGCAAAATATAGATTTTTCGCCAAAATTTCGAATCTGTCAACATTTTGCAACGTCTTTGAAAGTTTTTATACCTGGAATATAATTACATTTTACTAAAACATGATTGAAATGCTTAGTATGGCACTACTGCGCATTTTTCGAGTTCTAGAACCCCCTTCCCCCCCCCGATAACGCAAAAGAACCCGACAATCTACTCACGTTGGCAGCTTCTCTGCTTCTCTTGCTTTCGTTTTCAACATCCGAAAGTGGTACTCCCAATCCGCAGCCTTCGTAAACTTTTCCTCGATAAGCCCCTCAACGTCCACTTGACCAAGCATCGCCCATTCCTAAACAAAAAATTAAATTTTCAGAGCACTAAACTCACCCGAAAGGGCTGATCCGCTTCGGCGACACGCTCGAGCAGTTCATCGGCTTGTTGGTAGACGACCAGGAAACGATCCGAGTTCTGTCCAATCATTTTCGCGAAGAAGTTCGTGCTCTGCTCATTATCCTGCACTCCACGAAACTTCTCGGGGATTCCCAGGAATTTCCTCAGCTCGCGGTAGTATTTCGCGCGTATCTCCTCGATCGGTGGGCGGAGTTGCAGCTTTTGTTGGCTAAAATAAAATGTAAAAAAATAGTGTTTTTTAGTGTTTTGATGGTACTTTGGCAATATGGGGGGGGGGGGGAATCGAATTTTTCTAAAAGCCCAGAAATGCTTAGTGACTTAATCGTAGTCATTTTAATGGTGTTTGTCGTAAAATATAGCTATGTTGCAAGTAAAAAACTATCTAAAAACCTTACAAAACTTTTTAAATTCGAGATTTTGATCGAAAAATCTATATTTTTGTACTTTGCACATAACATTTTTCATTTTTACGTTTAGAATCATAAAAATGGTGAAAACTCTTTCTATATTTATATCAGAAAATTGGATCCGTAGAAAAAGCCCCCCCCCCGATAATGCACAAGCACCGTTTTGGTACCTGAAAACGAGCTGACTAGGGAGGTATCTGAACTCGGCATCAAACTTTGAGAAGTCAGATACACCATTCGACGCGCCTTGTCGAGGGCATTCCAAATATGTAATAAAATCAACCAGAGCGTATAACCGTAAAAAGTTATGAGCATTTTAAGTCGACAAAATGATGAAAAACAGTATCTTTGAGACTCTGTATCATCCCGCGGAATGGAATTTAGCCTAAACTGATTAGTGTTCCTTATTCAACAAAGAAAGCTCTTTCAAATGAGCTATGTTACATACGGCTGCCAAAAATTTCCGTAAAAAAAATATTTTTGGAATGCGGCGTAAGGGTAGGGTATGGCCAGCTTGCCGACGACGTTTCGAGGATTTCGCGTAATGCCTATGTAAGATAGCTCATTCGAAAGGGAATTTTCTGCTGATCAAGAGGTACTGTTCTATTTTTGACAAATTACATTTTTCGAATTCTTACAGAGTCTTAAAAGGGCGGTTTTTGACGATTTTGTCAACTTTGATATAGAGAGCGTCCAATCCTGGATTTCTTGTCCGAGGTTATTTTATCGTCGCTAGTGCTTTTTCGGGGTCACACAGGCAAGAAAAACTTATTCCTGAACTTGGAAATGCAAAAAGTAGAAACTGGTCAAAAAGCAAAAAATAAAAGTCGTGGGTGGATCCGAACCCTGGACATACACCCCAGAGACCCATGAGCACACCACTAGGCCACAGAACCGATGAACAGGGTGCGCTGGGAGGGGCTCATATCGCAGCGGCGGATCTTGGTGCAAAACTTAAAATGCTCATAACTTTTTACGGTTATACGCTCTGGTTGATTTTATTACATATTTGGAATGCCCTCGACAAGGCGCGTCGAATGGTGTATCTGACTTCTCAAAGTTCGATGCCGAGTTCAGATACCTCCCTAGTGAGCATGGATGGGCGGGATCTGGGTATGCAGACTTTCCAGGCCCCAACGGTATTGAAGTTGGAGGGCCTTGAAGAGCTGCCGATCCCAGTGGATTTGCCAGGGGCGCATGTTCGTCTTCGAGGCCGCGTAGACGAGCTCCTCCTCGCTCATCTGAATCGTGGGATTTTTTGTGTTTTTTAGTGGTTTAGTGACTTACCTTGGTGCGAATCTGGACGAGCGTCTCCTTCCACCTGTTGACCTCCTTGTAGATGTCCAGCTTGCAGAGTTCGAGCACCATTTGGACGATTTCCGATTGTTTGTTGCGTAGTCGGCTAAAAATTTGGCCCTTTTTAACGCAAAAACGCAAAATATTGTAAAATAAAAACTATTAGAATGTCAAAGATCGAAAGAGTGACCCTTTTGTCTAGCGCTCTTTTTAGCCTTTTTCAAACTTATCCCATACCGATTATGCGATGCCAAGCGCTTTGAAGCCTTCTGCAGCTCCCCAACGAACGCCTCGAGCTCCCGCGAGTTCTCCCAAGTGACCGAGCGAACATCTTCGTCTTTTTGCGGGATGACGAGTCGTTCAAAAGCCACCGCCTCATCCAGCATCAATGCCTGTTAACAAGGCAGCATCTGCTGATCAATCGTGTTGTAGAAGTGAGCGATCTGCTTCAGCGTCACCCCGAAACGGT